GGTGACAGCAGATGACTATGATTCTGGGCAGAGCAAAACCATAAGGCCTCAAATCACAATCACTAAAGTCAATTCTTGAGATGAAATCAATCCAGCCACTGGAGCAAAAGGGTGTCACACAGCAATGCAGAAAAACAACTTAGTACCACGCATCTGAAGGCTCTTAAAAAGCTCCACCCTCCCATTTTCCCACACCCTTCCCCCTCCCCCCCCCCCCCCCCCCAACCAAAAATTTATTTTCAAAAAAAAAAAAAAAAAAATAAATTGAGGTTATGCATTTCCTGAAGTATGGTTGGCTGAATAAATACAGAGAACTCTTTGTAAAGCAATAGCAGAATGAATAAGAGTGCATCACTATCATGGGAAATAAAAGGAAAAGTAACCCAACTGCAATTCAACCAGAATCATTCCAAACCCCAAAGGTTGGCCTCCTTTTTTTTTTTCTTTAATGTGTCTGACATTTTATGGCATCAATAATGCAAACAAAGAGGAAATCATATTTGCAGAACACTAATGCACGGATGTCTAAAGCGAAATACAATACTGATTACTTTTTAAATGAAGCCACCAGGTTTTGATGTGCTGCAGTGGTTAAAATGGTCCATCAAATTCCTTCCTCAGTCCAAAGCAACAGCTTGACCTTCTCTATAACCTTGGATAGCCTTTTCAGCTGTATTCTGATTGGGAACAGTAAATGTTAGTCTGAAGAAATCTTCCTGATGGGACTGATTTCAGAAATGCCAGGGGCACACAACTCCACTTCAAGATGAGGTGAACTACAGGCATGTCACCTCTTCATAGGTGACCCAAAGACTGACAAACACATAAAAGAAAACTACTGGTGAAAGGATGGGTGTGCTCTAGAACTACTAGTGAGATTGTGCCCTTAGGGTTAGTGACTAATCTATTCAGCACCTGATAGCCTGTGTCTTGCCTAGAACTTTCTGCGCAAGACTGTAGAGCAATATCAGAGTTTGAAAATGAGGAGATGAAGGAGAAGGTGCAGCTACAACAAATAACTCCCTTCCCTTCCTCTTCCAGTTTTTTAGATGTTAGTGGTTTGTTTTTCCATGAAGAAGTAGATCTCAGAGGTGTATCTTGTCTACCACAGAAAGGATTGTCTCTACAAGTAAAAGTGCAAAGAAGCTGTGATGCTCCTGCCTGGGAACTCTTGCTGCTTGGCCTGATCTCATACTAAAGGACAACAGAGCTTGGTTCTGGCCTAAACTTCCATCTTAACAGCACGAGCACTGAGTTCAGGAGTCAGGAGATTTCTTTTGCCACATCCTCTGATTTGCACTGTTCACTTTTTAAATTCATACAGTTCTGGTTTGGTAGGCAGAGCCAATAGTGCACCTGTGGGCCAGTGAGTAGGGTTGGATGCCATGGTCTCTTGACAGCTGGGAGTTTATCTGCCATTCAGGTCTGATCACTGCACTGCAGGGATTGCATGTTTTGGAGTTAATCAGTGCAAGCAGCTAATTGCCACTAGTTAACTAGCGCTTTTTAATTGGATCTGTGTTGTTGGGTGGATGTGTGAAGGGAGCTGTTTGTCACTGACAAAAAAAGAAGTCAGCTTTGTGATGTAAGCCTCTTTTGGGAATTAAAAAAAAAAAAAAAAAAAAGTACTGTCTGGAACTACTGTCACTGTGGCAGGGTAGGAAATCAGTTTCAGCAGAAATGGCCTGGATGAGGTTAGAGTCACGCTCTGCTGGGGTCAGAAATGATAGTGGCTGCCCCCCAACCCTTTCTCTTGTGCAGAAGGGTGGGACACTGTGGGCTTCAGCTGGGATTTACAGGAGATACCCCACATGCATTACAATGAGCTTTGCTGTAAAATTCACTGCACAGAGGTTAATCTAGATGTCAACATTGCCTGACAGCAGTGAAATTACTCCGGGGCAGTGCTCCTTCTGAAGTCTTAATATAACAGTCAATTCCATCCTGCCTGCAGGAAATGAAAGTTTTCTGCTTTGTGTGCGGAATCATTCGGCGCCAATTTTCTCACTGTTTGAAGTCCAGACTGTTTGTGGTCTCGGGATTCACCTCACATTAAGACTTTCGCTTCATTTAAAAACTGCTAGTCAAGTCCTGAGAACTGCAAGGACAGGAGCTGCACAGGGAGAAAGAAAAGAGGGCAGGGGAGAAGCCTTATCTTGCCTACCACTTCAAAAATCAAACAGCTTCACCAGCCCTCTGTACTCAAAAGGGAGTGAATGCAGCAACTCAGCTATCTAAATATCAAGCAATATAGATTGTTGAGGTTGGAAACCAGCCGAGAGAGAGAGAAAGCGTGCAAAAAACCATATATATCTGGACCTCCCGGAGCTATGATTTTCTTTAGAGGTATTTCAGTCCTCCCCTGCTGGGACCTTGTCCTAAGAAAGCAGTAGTTCTGCAGTTAAACACCCCGACTGAACAACTGCTGAAGTTTTTAGCTGTAGGATCAGTCACTTGTGCAGGGCAGGAGATCGGTTCCCACAGAGGATTCCTGATGATGTGAGGAAGTTAGAGATGTTGTGCCTCCTTTGTCCATGGAGATATGCTAATATTGTGGGGTTAGCAGAAGAAAGAGGAGACACTGCTCATTCCTTCCATGTGAAAAGACCTCTCAGATTAGGTTTGCGAGAAATTAAAGACACTGAGATGAAAGCAACTTATCAGCTCGGTTAGTTCAGCCCCTGAAAAAGGGGGAGGAAAAAAAAAAAAATGAAATAAAGAAGCAGTAAGATTGTTTTCTTTTCTTCCTCTTTGGTCTCTTATCCCTTTTCTTGGTTCAATTTTTCAGAGTTGCAAGCAATGGGATTCCTATCACTCCTCTCAGGGAGCTGTTTCACTGCTCAGTAGTGTACTGGGAGGAAATAAGAAACATACAGAAGAGACTGAATGCTCCTGCTTTCCTCTTGCAACAGCAACTGACAGCCTGTGTCACTCGTGACACTGCCAGTCTGAATGAATGTTTGAAGACTCCTACGTTCACCAGGCTTGAGATTCCCACATGCAGTGTGAATGGCAAAGGAAATACAGGAGACATTCCCATTTTTGGGGACTTCACAGCTGCTTAAATAAGCTTTAAATGTGTACTGATGCAAGAGTCTAGGAGGGACACCTTAAAGTTCATCAAGTTTGACCATTTGTGGAAAGCAGAGTCTGGAGTTCTCTATTTTTGATACTCCTTTGGAGACTAGCTGCATTATATGCTACAGTTCCAAGGCCATATACTTTTCCATCAGAAAGCCACTGCATTAGAATAGGGAGCAACCCTTTCTGGGATTTGCTGAAGTATGCTTGTGCCTATCATAGAGGAGCCCTGTTGGTGTACTTAGCTTCTGGCTATCAAAGGAGCCATGGTAGCATAGCATCACAGCCAGCAGCCCATTTATGCTGCTTGTTTATGCTCACCACTGCTTTACAACAAGAGAACACACCTACAGCTGTTACAGAAGCACACGGTGTGAGCAATGGCTTTACTAGCTTAGCTGATTCCTGGCTGGATCACAGAATAGAATTGGGAAGAGACCCATGAAGGCCATCTGGTTCAGCTCCCCTGCACTGAACAGGGACACCGACAGCCCATCAGGTGCTCAGATCCCTGTCCAGCCTGACTTGCAGTGTCTCTGGGGATAGGGCACCCACCACGTCTCTGAGCAACCTGTGCCTCACCATCTTCACTGTAAAACAAACAAACAAAAAACCCACAAGCAAACAAACAAAAAAAACCAAACCATTTTCCTTATAGCCAACTGAAATCTCTTCTCTTTTAGTTTGAAACAGTTTCTCCTTGTCCTCTCAACCGATAGGCATAATTCACCAAATACTTAGCTATCTGCTTTGCCTTTTGTAAGACAAAGCTATAACATGATGGAAAATACAGCATTAATAGCAAGACAGCACAATTTTAGGCTACAGCAAATGAGAACAAGCCCAAGTGTAGCAGCTGTAGGCACAGAAACAAAAGAAAAAATAAAATAAAATAAAAAATAACCTGCTTACCTTTGGAAGACTTTCAGTGGGCAGGGATCTCCAGTGAGATACCCCCACCCCCACTGCCAACCCTTAAATGAGGTTGGGGAAGGGGTGGATCCTGCCTCCACCCTTTCTGGTCACTCAGCTGCATTGCATTGCATTGCATGCACCTGAGCTCTCCTGGGTTGGCCCTACCTTCCCACCAGGTGCTCAATCACTGCTTCAGGCCATGACTTAGCATTTCTGCTACACCTTTGCATCCCCAGGTTGAACACACAGTGGGGCAAAGGATGTAGACATTCTATAGGGGAAAAATGGAGCCCAATTCAGTAAAACTTTTTAAAATCATACTGCTAAACAGATCACTGTCTCCATGCAGATTTGCACATGAATGTCTGATGATCAGGTGTTCAGAACTACTTATGGCTTTGGAGGTTTGCAGTGACCCAGGTCTGCATTCTTTGAACCATAGCTGGAATTCAGGGAACCTCACGCACTTGATTTCTAGGAATAGCCTTTCACATGAAAGAAACCAGCTCATGTATTACCATGTTCCAGTCTATGGCCTCAAAAAATAACTTCTTAATGCTGTTTTACAGTTGTATTTAGGTATCAGAAAAAGAAAATAATCACGAACAAGCGTAAACCTTGGCTGTTTTGTTTTCTGCGTGGGTAAATGGTCCCTTGCTTTTATTGGTTTCTCTCTCCTTTTTTAACCAGCATTGCCCTGTGTTACAGCTAGCTTTTCCTGGTGCTCTAGCATGTTGCTGTTTTCCTTTGCTTTTCTCTGCTTGTAACCACTGTGCTACTTAAAATTCTGTGCCACACTCCCGAAACCAGTCTCAATTTCCCAGCCCAAGATACTCGCCTTCGACAACCAGCCCTTCCCTTCCCTTGGCTTTTTTATTTCCCCACATATTTTCTCACCTTGTTCCACCCACTCCTGGGGACAAGCAGACAGCTCAAAGCTAATGATGTCTCTCAACAAGCAGCCTCTCTAAAGGCATTCTACATTTTTTGTGTTTGTCTTGCAGCACATGTTCTCAGAATCACCTGTCTGCAATTCAGCACCCCGTGGACACAGGCGCAGGCTTGAGATGAGGCAGTGCAGGCTCTTTTCTGACCCCACAATGTATGCATCAGGGGACATTTAGAGGACCAAATGGTAAGTTTTGAGGGAGACAGGATGGGCTTCTAGTCTGGCAGATCGTTGCATGTCTTCCCTTAGCTATGCTTTAGCTTTTGTCTCTCAACCTGATAGATTACGGTGGAAGGAAAACTGTTTGGAAGAAACGAGACAGGTCACAGATGAGCCCCTAAGACTGGAGACACATTCACTGCCCACTGTTTGCAGCCCTGGCATGAGACTGCCATCTGTACCATATAGCACCTTAACCACCAAGAAGGCATTGTGTCAGTGACACCCATAGATGACAGAGTTGGTGCTTGAAAGCAGGATGCTGCTGGGCTGGGGAAGACTCCGTGGCCCCTTCTTAGCAGTGCCCAAACAAACACTGCTCCCATCTCCTTTTCAACAACCCCCTCCAGAAAGTTGCTGGCAATAAGGTCTGATTTGCCCTAGACCTGGGTAAGACCTGTATGTGTTGCCAGCTCTCCCCTCGTGGCAGACAAGGTTGTAGGAAGTATCTCTCTTCAAAATGGAGACTGTGAACTCATTTCTCTTTGCCTCCACATACTTCCCACACTTAGATTTGTGGCATTCGGTGAGGGTTTCCCTCCAAACCTGCTCTTCTTCCTCCCTCCACTTGCAGTGGAGCAGTGGCAGAGCCCCCACAGGAGCCCCTCTTCCTGCAGGAAAGGTACTGTCATCCATGCTGATCGGCAGCTCCACTTTTGCTCCAGGGAAAGTCCTTCTTGAAATGAGGTCTCAAGGTTCACCAGGAACTCAGCACGGACGCTTTCCCTCTTCCCATCCAAAATTGTCAGACCAAAAAGGGATGCAGCAGTTTCAGTCATGTCTCCAAAACAAAAACGAGCCTTCCCTCCCTCCCCACCAATAAACCTCCATCCAGCAGCACCAGCCCACTGGGCATAACGCAGCAGCTGCTGGGAGCCAGCTCTGCAGTACTTCTTATTCTACTCTTCTAAGCAATTGTTCCCTATTAGCTCTGACAAAAAGACCTGTCAAAGTAGTCATTGCACTTGGTGGGACTAACAGTAAAGCAGTCAGACAGCCTGAACCTTGGTCTCAGCCATTTCACATCTTCTGGTGGCCCATCTCCTTGCCTCTCATTGACCATTTATTCCTAACCACGTTGCACCAAATCCAGGTGTGATGCTCGGCTCCTGAGCTCACCTCGATGTCAGGACAGTACAAAGAGCTGGCAAAGGGACGTGTAGTGGTGTTGAGGAGGACACAAGGACGAAAGGAGGAGGGAAAGGAGAATATAGCTGTTGTGCAGAATAGTTATAAGGGAATAAGCATTGACTATGGAAACACAGTGACTGTAGGTAATCTGCCTGTGTAAAGGCCAGCGAAATTGGCTGAAAGAGAAATGAGAGCATAAGAGCAAGAGGGGAGGGTGGACAAAACAGTGGTTTTGCACAATCTGGCACTGTGCCTGAGAGCCACAAGAGCAAGAGACCATTTGGGGTATGGGGCAGGCAGCCCCAGAGAAGAGCTTTCTTTTGGAGGCACTGGGCTAGTACCACCATCACGTATTTTTCCCTGGATACAGTCTCCAGTCCTTTTAGCCAAAGCAGCCTACACACAAAAAGAGCCATTTCAGATCTGGCAACTTTTCGACTAATCTTTCTCACTTCAAAGATGAACCTAAGTTGTAGATGAGGAAAACTAGATATCCTCTCCCAACAGAGCGAGTACCTGCTACGGAGGGGTGGCATGGCACCTTGTTTGTGTGTGTGGACTGCCATTTCACACCCTGACCCTGACCCTGACCATACCACCTTTGGTGCCTATGCTGTGAGCTGCTGGTGTCTGTCCAGTGGCAGTCTGTCCAGCCTCTGCTGCGTAAGACTGGCTCTCTGTCCGTGATTTAACAGAAAGGGGAAGGTTGCACGTTTTTACTGCCACCCATCCTCTCTCACTCTGAGCTTGAGGTGCTCTTTGCACAAGCACAGTCTAAACCCACAGCCTCCACAAACCCTGTAGCAGCGTCCCCTGCCCCACTTGAAACCTTAAGCGAGGTCATGCCAGAGCCAGGGGTAGGAGGTAGAGATTGGCAGGAGACAGAGAGGTTGAGGAGGGATGCAAAATCTTCCCTTTCAGTAGCCAGCTATAATAAGGTCTCAGACTCATGCATCTTCTCTTGCATCCTGGCCCTGAACACTGTTCTGGCCATGGGGAAGGAGTCAAGATCCCATCTCCATCGCCTCCTCCCCTGTCTGCATTCCCTTTCAGATGAGAACCACATTGGAGCAGGTTATTTTTGTGCTGGCAATTGTCGCCTTCTCAATTGCCTTCACGGTGCCTGTGGCGCCTGCTCACTGCCTCGTGAGAGCATCTGCCAGGCTGAGGTTCCCCCTCAGCCTCCACTATTTAGAGGAAAAAAACAACCCAAGGAAGGTTTTGTTTTCTCAGCCCGGCCTGGATGGGCAAGATTCATTTCTGACTCAGTCTTTCCCCGGGTCAGGATAATATCCTGCATGAGGAAGATGGGTTTTAGGGAGAATGCTTCAGCCTCTCCATGGCTGTCCCCAGCACCCCCTGTCGCTGCCTGTCAGGCCTTTATCCTCATTGAGATGCAAGGCTGGCTGCTGCAGCCATCCGCTGAGCTGTCTGCTCCTGGAGGCACCTTCCCTTCATTCCCCTCCTCCTCCCGGGGCTGCCTGTGGAGCTATTCTTCAGCCTCTGCATTTCACAACAGCTCAAAGGCAGATGCATCAATCCTTTCAGGGGATGGGGACGTGAGGAGAATCGCAAGGGGTCTGCAGGCAGGTGTTGGGAGGTTCCCAGCCATCTCGCTAGCCTTGTCCCCTTCCCTGGCCTCAAGCTGGCTTGTGCCTAAGGCTTGGACTAAGGCATGGAGCAGGGATGGGGAAGGGAAGAGGATGAGGAGGGAGGGCACTGGGATATGCTGACCCCAAAGGCGTGCCCAGCTGTGATGCGGGCACACTTCCAGCTACATGCTGCAGCCTTCCCTCAAACAGGGAACAGGGGATGCAACCCTATCTGCTGAGGGTTTGCACTGATTTGGCTGTGGCTTGGTAACAATCCCATGGCCCCACAAAAATGAAGGGTGGGGAGAAAAGGCAGGGATGGGGGGTCAAGGGGTTCCTCCCAACTTCACCATCTCCACTGGGCACTGAGACGAACGGCACTCCTGTCTTGCATGCCACAATGGGTTGGGATGAATCAGGAATGGGTCTCCAGGACCCCCCTCAGCAGGGGGGAGGGGTTCAGTTCCACTGTAGAGGGAGGAGGGAGGGCTGGGCCCATCCGATGCGCTGGCTGCGGGTGGGCAGCTGGTTCCCGGTGTGTTATACCCGTAGGTGCCACAATCCTTTGACTGTGTGTTTGAAAGCCTTGAGTCTATACAGTTAAGAATCAGCAAATTAGAAAAATTGTCCTGAAATGTCGAAGGGGAAGAAAAAGGCAGAGAGGGACAGGGAAGGATGGAGAGGGAAGAAAAGTTTGGTAAAAGAGAATTTGTTCAGGGGCACTGCCCTGTCTTTGTGCCCATCACCTGTGGGCTGGGAAGAAGGAAGGGAGGCAAGGACAAGAAGGACACACATTCAGTGCATATCATATCATACAACCGGGGCAGGGCTTTCCTCCCAGAGCACCAACTCAGGCTAACACTGCTGCCATAGCCAGACTCGAGCCCTGCCCAGCAGCCCGAGCCATACTCACAGCAGGATGACAACTTACTGCTTCATTGCTCGGGGGAAAGATACCTTCTCCTTTCTTTCTTTCCTTTTTTTTTTTTAATTATATATATATATATATATATAAGTACTTTTTCTCCCTTGTTTCTTTTTTTTTCTTTTTAAAGTCTTATAATTTTCTGTAACAGCAGCTTCTTTCTGTATTGGTGTGGAAGTTATATAGAGAGAGATATTTATAAATATATATAAGCCAAACTGCCTTACAGGTCTTTGTTTTCTGGGAATTTTGTTGGTTTGCTTTTTGTTTTGTTTTGTTTTCAGTGTTGTATGTGTAGCAGGCACTTGAGTTTATATGAAGATGTTTGTTTGGGAGCTGAGGGGCAAAGGACTTGGGAAGGGGAGAGGGAAGGAAGGACGGAAGGAAGGATCAGGGACTTTTGACAAGTGGCCACTGCTAGCCAAGGATGTCCAGGTAGATTGGTGTGGCCTTGCCCAGAGCATGGAGGATCTTGTAGATCTCCTTGATGTTGAGCCGTTGCTGAGGTTCTCTCTGCCAGCAGCCCAACATGATGTCGTAAACCTCCTTGGGGCAGACTCGAGGTCTTTCCAGAACTCGGCCTTGGGTAATGCACTCAATGACCTGAAAGAAAAAAAGGAAAAGAAACACTGAATAAAAAGCTGGGCAGTTCCTGGATGATATCCTGTCCTGGATTGTGTCCTGTCCCAGATGCTTCTTGACTAATGTGGTGCCATTTTGAATCATAAAATAGCTTAGGTTGGAAAGGACCTTAAAACCCATCCATTCCCAACCCCCTGCCATGGTCTGGTTGCCCTCACCAGCTCAGGGCCGCCCTGGGCCCCATCCAACCTTGCCTTGGGCACCTCCAGGGATGGGACATATACAGCTCTATGGGCAACCTGTGCCAGGGCTTCATTTAGGGAATGGGAATGCTGAGGAGCCAAGAAGTTCACGAATCCTCGTTGCTCACCTGTTTGTGAGTCATTAATGATGGTTTAACATTGAAAAGTTTGTTTCCTTCTGCAACCTTGCCTCTTGCTCTTTTGACACCTATCTATTTTAATGCACCCTCCAGACAGGAGTTCACAAGCAAATTACGTGAAGTTTTAATTGCAGTTGTCAGTACTTTCCTGATAATTGAAGAAAGAAAATAAAAAGCCTTTAAATTCACAAGCTAAATTAATATTTTCATATTTTACACAGCTGAAATGCAGTTTTATTTCCCTGAAAATTGAGAGCCCTTTCCATTGCAAAGCCCAGGAGAGTTCTACGAGAGAGTTCAGCACATCTCTTTCTACCTTCATCTCCAAGGGCAGCTTTGCCTCATTTTGCAATAGAAAAGCAGCTGAAAAAAAAAAAATTAATAATAGCATTTCATCTCATATCACATCTTTGCTAGAGAAAAAAAGACCTGCAGTGCTAACGCTCTGCTCTGGATCAGGTCAGTGCTGCTAATGAGAGAAATGTGAGCTCTTGGACAGCATGAAATGCTATTCAGAAGTATGCCACTGGCATCCCCTAAGTGTCTGTGTCTTGCTTACTGGAGGAATGGATGCAGAGGAAACCATGGCATGATTTGTCAGGGAGCTGCTATTACCTCCTGCCCTCCTTGGTTGGAGCTGATAAGTCCCAGCGTCGCGGAGCATGAGTGACCTGCCACGCTCTGCAGACAAACGCAGAGCCCAAGCAGTGTGTTGAGGGAAGCCACCCAGCGAGGGGTGTTTGGAATTTATCATTTATGAATAGTAATGGACCTGCTGCACAGCTCAGCAGATACTTATCACCTTAGTGCTTGCAAATAAATGCGGAGGGGAAAGCTGGGCTCGGGTGAACCTAATGAGGTTCAACACGGCAAAGTGCAAGGTTTTGCATTTGGGCCGGAAGAACCCCAGGCACCTGTACAGGCTGGGAGGAGTGGTCCTTGAGAGCAGCTCGGCAGAGAAGGACCTGGGGGTCCTGATGGACGAGAGACTGAACATGAGCCAGCAGTGCGCTCTGGCAGCTCGAAAGGCAAATGGGATCCTGGGCTCCATCAGGAGAGGGGTGGCCAGCAGGGACAGGGAGGTGATTGTCCCTCTCTACTCGGCTCTTGTGAGGCCCCACCTGGAGTACTGTGTCCAGGTGTGGAGCCCTCAGTACAAGAAAGACATAGAGATTTTGGAAAGGGTCCAGAGGAGGGCAACTAAGATGATCAGGGGGCTGGAGCACCTCCCCTATGAGGACAGGCTGAGGGAGTTGGGCTTGTTCAGCCTGGAGAAGAGAAGGCTGTGGGGTGACCTCATTGCAGCCTATCAATACCTGAAGGGAACCTACACCCAGGAGGGGAGTAAACTCTTCAAAAGGGCTGACAACAGCAGGACTAGGGGAAATGGATCCAAGTTGAAGGAGGGAAGATTTAGGTTGGATGTTAGGGGGAAGTTCTTTACTAGGAGAGTGGTTAGGCCCTGGAACGGGCTGCCCAGGGAGGTTGTGGATGCCCCGTCCTTGGACGTGTTCAAGGCCAGGTTGGACGGGGTCCTGGGCAACGTGATCTAAATGTGTATGTTTGGTGGCCCTGCTAGGCAGGGGGGTTGGAACTCTGCACACTTCAAAAGAGTGGTGCTGCACTGGCATGGGCTGCACAGGGAGATGGCAAAGTCACCATCCCTGGAGATGTTCAGGAAGTGTAAAGACCTGGCACTGAGGCACATGGTCAGTGGTCAGGTGGGGATGAGCTGATGGTTGGACTAGATGACCTTTGAGGTCTTTTCAACCAGAATGCTTTTGTGATTCTATGGTAGGAAAACCAATACAGCTGCATCTGTGCAGATCCTAACTAGCTCTTCTCCTGTAAGACATGGGGCACATTTCTGAGTCCTATTACCTGCAAAGGAAACTGAGGCATGGAGGCAGCTGAGCTCTTTTCCAGAATGCCTCTCACCTGGGTAGGAGCTACATGTGCTCATTTGTGTTTGTATTTACTTTCCTAGGGAAATGCAAGAGCAGCTCATTAAGTAGCGTGACAAATAACTTCTGTCGCTGTCTATTCCATTGTTTGTGTCTCTAAAATGTTTGCGTGTGCTACTTTGGGATATACAGTCAGGCCCCATTGAGCACACGAATGGGCAAGTATTAGAGATGTAAAGCAACACCTTGGATTTGCCATCTCTGCAACTCACTTAATTAAGGGATCTGTATCCAGAAAGCAGAAAATGTCTGTTTCTCATTACAAAAGGTGAAATTTCTGAAATCCATTAGATACACAGTAGGATGAAAATTTGCAAGGTTCCCACGCACTGCTCTGTCAATGCATCCTGCTCCTCTTCCATCATACCCCCTGCTATTCCGAGCAAAAATCTTCCAAAGCATTTCTGCTGATGTGCCTCAAACCTCAGCTCTGACACTGCTAATGCTAGCCATCCTTCCCTCAACTTTTTTTATAGCGCAGCCCTACACTGATGGGTTGCAGCTTTTATTACTCAAAGAAATAACAAGGACAAACTATCCCTGGCCCGCGGCACCCCCCCTTGGGTCCCATCCTCAGTGAACAGGGGCAAACCATAGAATAGGTATCCCTGTGACAAACAGACCCAAAGAAGTGTGCCACGTGCCATCTAACGTGCTTCAAACACTTTGTCAGAAAATGAAGAATGCAGTAAGAGCTTCAGGTACAAAATAAGGCGAAGGAGAGCAGAGGACATGCAGAGCATCACACATCCCAGCAATAATTTGTTTTGCGTCAGCACCCAAGATGGCTATTATGGAGGTATGTCAGGAATTTGGAAAGCAGAGACCAGGGATGACCCATGGCTTTGGTAGAGCTCTTTCATTCCTGCATGCCTCAATTTCTTCAGCTCTCAATGGAGATAATTAAGCTTCTCCTATAAGAAGACAGGCTGAGGGAGCTGGGCTTGTTCAGCCTGGAGAAAAGGCTGCAGGGCGACCTCCTCCTAAAGGGAGCCTACAAACAGGAGGGGAATCAACTCTTTGAAAGGGTAGATAACAGCAGGACAAGGGGAAATGGTTTTAAGTTGAGGGAGGGAAGATTTAGGTTGGATGTCAGGGGAAAGTTCTTTACTGTGAGAGTAGTGAGGTGCTGGAACAGCTGCCCAGAGAGGTTGTGGATGCCCCATCCCTAGAGGTGATCAAGGCCAGATTGGATAGGGCCCTGGGCAACCTGGTCTAGCATTAAATGGGGAGGTTGGTGGCCCTGCCTGTGACAGGGGATTTGGAGATTCATGATCCTTGAGGTCCCTTCCAACCCTGGCCATTCTGTGATTCTATGATTTTTATCTCTATGCCTGAAAAACAACATAGTAAGGAACTCTCATGGGTGCCAAGGTGGGAACAATTAGTGCATGAGAAGTCTGGAAAGGAGAGATGGTAACAAACACAATTTCCAGCTGAGGTATCTCAGCACTGTTGTACCTCTGTGTTTGAGAGCTGAAACCAGGGCTGCTTCCCATAGGTGAAGATCTCCCAGAGGATCACCCCGAAGCTCCAGACGTCACTCTCCGTTGTGAACTTCCTGTACATGATGCTCTCTGGAGGCATCCAGCGGATAGGCAGCATGGTGTGTCCTCCAACCTGCATGAGGAAAAAGGCATGAGGAGATCTGAGGACCTGAGGAAGCACTCAGCTCTGATGGAATATGGACGGACTTGGGGCCTCCCCATGAGATACATCAACACGGAGCCAAAAGACCTGGGTTGGATACAGCCTCCCCGACCGCCCATGGGCTTAACCGCCAGTCCCACCTGGTTAGCACGATGGATAGGGAGTGAAATGTATCAAGACGAATGATGTCCCCTCCTCCCCAGATGGGCTTGTAAAGTAATAAAACAACAAAATGCCAAGGGTGTGCTCAAACCCTACAGTGATGAACCAGGAGGTAAGGCAAGGAGCAGAGTGTTCTGTGGGGTGCTGCAGTGGGTTTTGCAGGGCCTCAGCACCCACCAGAAATACAGAGCAGGGTTTGCTGCTCCTTGCTGAGGCTTGCTAAAAGCCGAATGCAAGCCTGTGCTCATCACCTAATTGTGTGAAAGATGTTGTGCTCGTAAAATTGTGCTACAGGCCTTTTTGAAGAGTGCTATGAATATGTAAACGACTGCAGGACCGCAATGCAAAAAGGAGGCCTGTATGTAAAGAATAGGCTTGTGCATGCAGGGATATGCCCAGTGGTTAATGGAGGTAGGAAAGCCAGTTCTTTGGAGAGCTTGGAAATGGAGGAGGCCAAAGGTGAAGTCCCGTTGGAGTATTCAGGAGAGAAAGGTCCTTTCTCCATCAGGGTCTGCAGCCTTTCAGTATCTAGTGGGGATATAAGAAAGAAGGGGGCAGACACTTTAGCAGAGCCTGTTGCAATAGGACAAGAGGAGATGGTTTCTAACTAAAAAAAGGAGAGATTTAGATTAGATGTAAGGAAGAAGTTTATACAATAAGGATGGTGAGGCACTGGCACAGGTTGCCCAGAGAGGTGGTGGGTGCCCCATCCCTGCAGCCACTGCAGGTCAGGCTGGATCTGAGCACCTGATCAGCTGTAGGTGTCCCTGTTCAGTGCAGGGGAGTTGGACCAGACGGCCTTGAAGGGTCCCTTCCAACTCAAATGATCCTATGATTCAGTAGGTATGTGAATGCAGCAGGTGAATGCACGCCAACAGCTTGAAAGCAGATGGATATACCTTCAGATTCACTAGAGATTTCTAAACAAGTGTGTCTAAGCAGGGCAAATTTTTCTCTCTTCTGTCCTACACAAGAAGCACCATCTGTGGGGAAGCAGCTAATTGAGAAGCCCAGCCGGCGCAGGGAGCCACACAGCCACCAGTCCGGCACTTCTTTCTGCTGAGGATGAAGTGGCTGAGGGCTTAGCGGTGATGAGAGATGGGGCTTTTGTGGTGCTGCTTGGCAGCTTGCTCGCCTCATTATGGACACCAAAACAGCAATTGCTAATAACCTGGTAGCACTGTGGCTGATTCAGACAGGCAGAAATCTCTCTTTATCCTATGAAGGATTTTGGGGAGAAAATTTCTAGGATTTCTGCATATGTGTGGCTACTCAAAGTAATGAGATTGTTGCATGCTTGTTTGAGTGAAAATCTTTCTCCTACAAACAAAACTCTCTCCCAAGCTCCTGGTTTCCCCACGTTCCCACAGGTTTCTTCGCCTGATTAAAACTGAACCAGCGTGAGAAGGGGCCAGTACAAAGGCAAGCCCCATTTCTTGGAAGCAGGAGGGACAATGCTGTGGGAGCCGTGCTGGAATAGGCTGTGAGATGGGTCTGATGCTTAGCAGTTCTCTGCATGGAGGATACCAGCCAGATTCCTCTGAGGTCTGCCAGCATTCAGACCTGGGCTCACAGCACCGCGCTCAGAGGTCTGTGGACCTGCTCCTACCTCACAAACAGCCTCCTGCTGCAAAAGAGAGAAGCAGTTCAAAAGGTCTCAGGAGCATCTTTCATTCCTAAGTGCAGAGATACTCAGAACTGCAGTGCATGGAGATAAAACTCCTTGCAGCTCTACACTTCCCATGCAGAGTCGCTGTAGCTGGCGTGGTCAAAGCTTGCTGCTCTGAACTCCCTTAATGGAAGTGGAAATGTTCTTTTCTTTGTTCCTTTGAAACCCTGGTTGCAATTTTAGCTCCTTCCTTCATTTCTAGCTTTTACAAGTTGCTTTCTGTTCTAGTGAAGGGCTCCAAGGAAATGTTATCGATAGAACACGACATACATCAAACTTGATTGTTGCAGAAATTGTTTTGAGCTAATGCTTATTTTTTTCCCCTTAAGTAGCCCTAGCTCTCTTATTTTTCCAGCAGTCTCAAGATGATTACTTATTACAAAGCTCTCTACATTTGCAATATCCTGAATCTGGGAGAATCACCAGAGATTACAGCTAACACAATGCATTGAGCCCATCTCACACTCTTTTGAACCGATCTAGTGGCAATCAGAATCTATGAACCAGATCCTCATCCTACACAAGCAGCTCAAGCAGTACTGCATGCATGGGAATGCCCTGAGTCACACCACTTGAGAGTGGCCCTGAAAGCAGCACAGAAGCCAGTAACCCCATCTTAGCTGTAATAAACTATAATGCAGTCGAGGTCTTTCATCTCCTCCACACACATCTGGGTGACAAATTGCCAGTAAAGCGACATGCACAGTCAATAGCTGTCCCAGGGACATGACAACACAGTCTTGGCTAAGCTCATGTGGTAGAGTCCAGCAACTGTCAAATATTCATCTTCACCCTCAGTGTCATGTGAGACTTGTCAAGTCTGGAGAGTGTCGTGTCTTACTAAAAATAAATCCAGTAGTAATGAGTACATTCATTTGGGGGGAAACATAAAATTAAGCAATGCCCAGCACTGCTTGGATAACAACATGAGGTTCAGATGTGTTCATCGGTGGGAACCTCAGAAGTATCCTCTGCATCTCCAATAGGGTGTCACATTTTTGAGAGCACATGCTGGGAGATCCCATCCACCACTCAGGTGCAATTCCCAAGGCTGCTACAGATGCAGTGCCCTCAGACAGCAGCACTGACACATCTCTCCCAGAGGCACTACACAGCGTGGAAGAGAGTTTTGCTTTCAAGTAAATACAAGTAAATCCTCTGCTGTTCCCCCCCTTAAATCCTGATGCTGCCAAGCTCACCCTTTTTCCTTGTTATTTTAATGCTTCACAGACCTGCAGACTGGCCTCTTTATCCCATTGCCATGGCTGTCGAGCTTCACTTGACATTTTTAGCTCTCTAACTTTCTCTCCCTAGATCAACTCCCCATGCCCACATTGACATGTTTTCCCCATTGCTTCGCTCTTTCACTTTGCAGTACTATCCTAGTAATAAATAGAGCAATCAGCGCGCATCCTCTCAGCTGCCAAAGTTGCCTTCGTCTGTCTCCATCTCCAAATTGCAATATCATCTCCATCGCTTCCTAACGGATACTCACAAGGGCATGACCTGGGCTACAACCACATGTTGGGTATGGCACATGTTTGGGATGCTCCAGGGCACCAGGGCTGTGCTCTGAAGCCTCATTACATGCTTGAGCCCACAGACTGCGAGATAAGCAGCCGCTCCCTCGGAGCAGCTCACTGCTGTGTTACAGCTGAACCTTGGGGAGCTGGGGGAGGTTGGGGAAAGGGCAGCGTTAATGGCCATTAGGGAGAGAGATAATTACTTAATGCTAGTACAGCAATTTGAAGATGTAAAGCTATATAAGTGCTACGTACACGTAGCATTGTAAGGCTCTAGGTTTGTCTGCTAGGAAGGAAAGTTGGTGTCTAGGGAAAGAGTTCTCCTTGTCCCAGCTTTCTGAATGACATCCGGCTGATTAGGAAGGGAAGATGACACGTCTTCCCTGATGAGCCTGGCAGCGCTGCAGCAGGTAGTGGAACAGCAGTGTTCAGCAAAGGCAGTGCAATATACAGAGAGAACACGGACAATCAAAACCAGAGCAAGGCTGAAAAACCCTCAGGAGAACTTTGGATGCGTAGGAATGCAGCTCTCAAAGCAGTAACAGGTGGGTGTTGGTAGGCAGTCCCACATTCTCCTTCCTGAACCCTACTACCTCTGGGATCGCACCCCAAAGCAGCCCCTAACCCTACCCACCATGAGAACCTTGTTGCTATTTCTCTCCAGGAGAATGCACTCAACACATCACCTCTTTCTAGACCTAGCGATAAGACACACATTCCCTGACTGCTGTAGATTTGCATGACCTGGGCTCTTCTTTAATTGAAGACCTGGCTGCCATCCCAGGCTGGGCTGCACAGGAACATATGTCCTAAGAGCTGTACGGTCCTGGGAAATGCTCTGCCCTGACTCCTTCCTTCCATCAGCTCTGGGTTCAGCAGAACTGAGGCAGTTCTGTGTCCTCTCGGCAGTTCACGTGCCTGAGTCCTGATAGATTCCTGGGCACCTTGTGCAAAGCAGAGGGATTAATTCTGACATGCAGACTGATCTGAGCTTTGCTGAACATTAGCTGTCCCATAGTTCATGGCCTCAACTGTCACCTTGCCAAGCTCGTAAGTCCCTAAGTAGTTTACATTAGAGGTAGCTGCATTTAAGTGCACGTTGTGACTGGATGTGATTCCCCAGTACTTTATCTGTAATTTCCTTTCTGTTTCATCAGAAAGAAATGCGTTAGCTGTATCTTTGACAGCACCATTTCAAGAATTACCCTCCAAAATCCCAAAGCTCTTCTCCTGACTCTGAAAAGCCTGAAGCAGTACCAGCCCTGAGCTGAGCTGAGGCTGAAGCCTTAGTTGCCCCCTCCTCTTCAAAGCTATTCTAAAGATGTTCCTGCAAACAGTCTCGGCACAGCTCCTGCCTTCAGGTCCTGTGCCTTTGCTGTTCCCATTGCGCTCAATATGGGCTTAAAAACAGTTAACAAGCAGCAAAAAGCTTCTGACAACTATTTCAGCTTAATTGTGTCCGCACTCTGCATGTGCCCTGTACACACCATGCATCACTCTGCACGCCTGCTCTGCTGTCCCAGAATGGCAGACCTGAACCCACCATCACCCTGCAGCCAACCATTTCTCCCTGGCAGCCTGCTGCCTGCTTCACCAGTGAGCAAAGACACCTTACGGTACGTAGAAGGTTTCAGAAGGTTTACATGGTACAAAGTGACCTGTCACTGTGTGTCCTGCATGCCTACAGCTGCACTGGGTGTCCCACACAGCCCAAAGCAGGGAAGATGCGGGTCACCACTGCCTGAGGGTTGGACTTGCACAGGGAAAGGAACCAAATGTCCCTGCTGTGAGGTGATGGGAAGAGCCAGATGGATTTGTTGAGGAGCAGGGAGAGCTCCGCAGGGTTAACACAATGCTGAGATGGGGGTGAAACCTTCCTGCTGTCAGTAGAACTGTTTGGCAAGGGACTGTTTCTTCCCCCCAGACGCATGTACTGTGTTTAAATACGAGTCTAAGAATAAAGCCTGCCATTGACATTGTTTTTCCTTCCTTCATTTAGCAATCTCGCTGCTTTATGACCTGTAATTCTGAATCGCCTTGAAATCAAGTGGTATAATTTGCAAGCAGGGACGGTGGCCTTTCTCCCCTTTCCCCTCATTTCTGCTCCACTGAGTGTGTTTTAATCCCACGGTTTCCAGCATTCCTAATGAGCCATTAACAAGCTGCCAATTACTTATGCAAATGACAGGAGGAGGGCAGAATTGGAGGGGTGGCTGTAGCTAGAGGTAAATTCTGCTACCTCAAAAAGGCCTGAGATAAATCACTGCTTCTCCAAGAGCTGCCGGTACCCAAGAGTCCTCTCAGTTATATTATCTGCCATCTAAAAATGCCAGAGGTAATGCACAGGATGGTTAAGAAAAGGGAAACAGAGGAGTAATCGTGCATCTATTTTTAATTATGTTTGCCAATAATCTATTTGGTGCATTCGTTACCATAGCTCATTCCTCCTCTCTCTTCCC